ATGCTGCTCAGTAATTGGCAATTATCTTTCTCTACTGCAAGACCAAAAGTAGTAAAAACTAGTCTCTATCCAAAAAGAAAATAATCTGTAGCTTGCAGGATATTATAAAATCATCAGGTTGAACTTTTTACCTTGAACCTCAAATTCATTCCTCCTTCTTCACCACTTTCCACCTTGTATTTGTTCTCAGGATTTTTGTCTTTTTAGGAGCCGTTTTCTAGCCAGTTACAGATCACCTTGCATTCTTAGCACCCTTTTTATAATAGCCTGCTGTTTTTAAGGCATCTAATAGATTTTACCTTTAGGAATTAATTCTGTGGTTACTGGCTTTCATGTTTTTTTTAATCTGCCCCTGGAAAGCTTAGGTTTTTAGGATTTACATTTTAAATCGTGTTTATTGGATCTCTCCTGAATTTCTCCTCTGCCAATGGTTATGGTTGTTTCTGAACTTTCAAATGTGTCTTCTTCCAGGTGAGCACGACTGGGAAGCCACTAAGAAAGCCACCAGCCAGACTGGAAAAACTTAAGCTCAGAAAGGAAGTGAAGGATTTCACAGTGCAGGACATAGAAGAGAAGATGCAGGCCACTGCGCAGGAGCACAGGAAGGTAGCTGAACTCTCAGATGCTCAGGGTTGAGGAGCTCCCTGCCTGCTAGAAGGACCTCACGTCAACCTTCCCTATCAGCAGCTTTAACACAAATTGCATGGATTTATATTCAGTATTTTAATGATCTATATGCCTCTTATGCTATATACATTTAGTGTTTTAAAAATTTTCTTTGTTGGGCCGGCCCGGTGGCGCACTGCTACAGTGCGCCGCTTGAGAGCGCGGTGGCACTCCCGCCGAGGGTTCGGATCCCACATACAGACCAGTTCGTGCTCACTGGCTGAGCGAGGTGTGGGCGCAGCACCGAGGGTTGCGATCCCATTGCCGGTCCCGGTCCGCTACAGGCGCGACACTGAGGGTTGCAATCCGTTGCCAGACACGAAAAAAGACAAAAAAGGAAAAAAAAAATAAAAATTTTCTTCGTGTCATGAAGGAATACAGCAACATCTTAAAGTGAGTTGAAAATTACAGTTTCAGCCATAGCCTAAGTAAGCAATATCCAATCCTCAGAATTAGACGAAGTATGGGGTTTTCTTCATATGATGAAAGGAAAACTTCAATTGGGGCTAAGGGTAGGAGGAGAGGCAGGGTGGGGGTGGGGGTGAAGCTGAGAGGAGGCCTGCAGATCATCAGACAAGTCCTGCAGCATTTGCGCTGGGCCCCCGTAACCAGCCCAAAGCCTCCTTTTCCAGTGTCTCTACTTGGCCTCTCGGAGAGCAAGGACTGGACTGTAAGCTCCATGAGGGTTGTCACTGAGTCTGTCTTCTTCAACAAGTCTTCCTCAGCAAGTGTTTGTTGGTTGAATAAGGAAATAGAGAAGCCATAAATGGTCATGACAAGCAATATTGATGAGAACTTAATACTGCTTTTCAGACTAAAGAAGAAATAAGAAAAAGGCTATGGAGTGGCCGACATTTGCCCCCAGCCAGTCATTCAGATTCGGCTGAACTGGGTGGGGCTGAGGTTGCATTTGCCAAAGGACATCATGCTCTGAGTTCTGCCTCCTTTGAACTGTCCCACCTGCAGGAAGGAAAGACGTTGAACAGAAAGAAGAGTAAGAGTGATGCCACCTCGATTGACATGAACTACAATGATGAAAGTATTGGGGTCGTGGAGTCAGACATGTCCTACAATCAAGAGGATGACATATTCTAATAAGCTGCTTTCTGTGAATTTCATAAATAGGCATCCGTTCTTCCCACTCGTGACATTCTTCCTAGGTCTAATGTTCTTCCTGGACTTCCTGACCTCACTCCACTGGGATTTCTGCCCTGAGCTTAGGAATGATTCTGCGAGCTGCATGGGCTGAAGATTAGTTGAGTAAATTAAATGGCTATGCTAGCTTAAAAAAAAAAAAAAGGAAAGATGTGACCAGCTTAGATACTAGGAGCTCCGTTGGCATTCTCCTTCAGTGTGGCTTCAAACATCCTGAAGATGTCTTATTTCATGAGTACCTTCCAGCTTACATTGATATGTTTGTGCCAAATGAAGCTTTTCCTTTTTGCTCCTGCCCCATGGCTGTGTCTACCCTCTGCCGGTCCTTTAAGGCAAATCACATGGATTTGTATAAAGTATTTAATGATCTGTATGCTTCTTATGCTGCATGGTTAGGTTTCTTAAAAGAATTCTCTTTGTGTTATAAAGGAATAAATCAATATCTTGAGGTCAGCTGAATTACAGTTTCATCTGTATAGTTAAAGGAAGCAATATCCAATTCTCAGAACTATGCAAAGTATGAAGTTTTCTTCAGGTGAAAAAAGAAAAACTTCAGTTGGGGCTGGGGTGGGAGGAGGGGTCAGTAAGCTGAGATCGGCCCTGCTGCGAGCTTCTCTCCTCCCTGCAGGTGCTCTGAGCCGGGGAGTTTGCTGGCCCTCATCTTACTGGAATTATACCTTGGTTGTTCCTCCCTTACCAACTACATCCAATCAATTTTGGGGTCTTATGAGTCTACATTCAAAAGATCTCTTGCATCCATTTTTGTAATTCTCCCATGTCACCACCTACTTTAGACCACTTTACCATCTTCAACTGGTTATGTGCAACAATCTTCTCATCTATATTCAACAGTCGTCTATTTCAAACCCTTGTTGGCCCCCTTTTATTGTCTAGATAAAGCCCAGACTCCTTTTTGCTGGTAAGGATCTCAGCTTTCACAGTGCACCCAACCTGAATGTCTTCCAGTCCCTCAAACTCAGCACACCCTCGCCAGCCTCTGGGTCTTTGCACATGCTGTTCTCTCCTTCCCCCACTCCTTCTTGTTTCTTGATTTGGTGAATGCCTTCTTGTTTTTACTGTCTTAACTTAGACATCACTTCCTCTAAAATCCCTGGTCCAGGTCAGTGCCCCTCGCTCATAGTCACCTTTTAGCACCATGGACTTTGCACTTATTACCTCGTGTAGGAATTGCCTTATACATTTCTGTCTTTATCATCAGATATTTTCAGTTCCACCAGGGCAAAGGAGTGGGTCTGTCATGATCATGGTTGCATTTTTTCACAACCAGACAATAAATGGCACAGAATAATTGCTGTATAAATATTGCTTTCATGGCCGAATCCTTATGCCTGCACATTTCCAGGAGGAGGACAGCCCCAGGAGATGGCTCTTTTTCCTGGGAACCGGTGACTGGGGGCAGCGCCGATTTGACCTAAAGGCCACTCAGCATCTCCTGTTTGTACTTTTCCTTTGGGATTTCACAAATGGACATCTTGTGCTTCTATAGCCTGCAGGACTTTAGACTCCTACACAGTGAGGTATGATGGTGGTAAAGAGGAAATAGGGTTTTCTTCCAAAACTCATTTCAGATCCAAGACCTTTAGAGTTAGAGTCTACTTCTTACAGTGTGACTTTAGAGAGTCATGTAGGCTCTCTGTGTCTTAATTACCTTATTGTTAATTTGGGATAGCCACCATCAGAGTTGTATCTAATTAAATAATACATTTAACAGTAATATGTAAACTAGAAATATGCCACAATATTTATAGCATATTAGTTATATAAAATCCCATGTAAACAACATATTTTTCATCCATCCCAAGGTTTTTCTATGGAGGTTCCCGTGGTGGTATATGTCAATCTTATAAAATATTAACATACTAAAATAATTGTACAAAGACACCTATAAAAAGACTTGGGTATCATTCACATCTCTGTAAATAAAAAAATTTAAATGACCACAAAGTATTTTCAATTTAGTATTTGTTGTAAATTAAATTTCCAAATTTGACAAATACTGAAATAATACTTTCTCTTAAAATCTTATGCTCTTGCCTAAGTATATATGGTGGCATGGATGACATGCTTGTTGAGTGAAAATATATATAGGATAGATGCGAACACTATCATTGATGCCCTGGCTTGAAAACCTCTCTACATACATAGAATTAAATATGCAAAAGAGTAACACATCCTGATTGATAATCTGTGTATTTCCTTAGTGACATCCACGTTAACAGGATGGGAAGAGAGAGATTAGAATGTTGAACACCTGGGTCCTGGGAGCTTCTCTAAAGTTCTAAGTATATTATTACTTTCAGAAATCCTTTCAGGGGTTAGAGATGAGGAATGAGACAAACACAGACTTTAAGCAGCTTCCCACAGTCACAGAGCCTCTACCATCAACCAGGAATGAAGCTTGTATTTTTGAATCTTGTTCTGCCTCCAAAGTGCTATCAACTCCATCCCCACCTCATTTTTTAAAAACTTCAAATGTAAATGTGACTTTTTCCATGATCTTCTTTCTTTTGAAAGGATGATTTGCACTAAAGAGTAATCAAAAAGAAAGTTGGTAATTTCTAAAATGTAGCCTCTGGGATAATGTTAATTTTATGTGTTGAAATAACATAATTGGTTTTCTCATTCTTAAAACATAAAGTTTTGAGCAACCACCACCAGGGTATTTCAACTAAAATCAAACCACAAGCTCAGGAAGTTATGAACTATGGAACACAAGATTAAGTCAATGTCTCCATAATCATCTTAATTGGTGGCAACTGAAGAATGCCTGTATAGTATTCCTTGAGAAAAACAGCCTTGCTATATCTAATAGGAGGTAATTTGATAGTTGGAATCCTCTAATTTTCTTTTTGGGGGCAAAACCTTATGCATAACTCATATTTAAAGTAATGTATTTAAAATAATATTTAAGAGGTATATTTAAAAATATTTCACATACATTTAAAGCAATACACATTGTAGGATACTTATGTCAGTGAAAATAATTTTGTAAGCACAGGGACAAAAATAGAATTTATTATAGAGTGTTGCTATAGTGACCACCAGTAATTTATGACTGTGCCTATTTCTGTGTTTGCTATTCCATTATCAGTAAGTAGCTACGATTTGAAGGAGTAATTATATGTAAATACTGCATTCTAGAGACGTGCAAGGTAAGTTGTGTCAGCATATAGATCACTTTTGCATCTACGTAACCTATATACACAGCGCCTTCACATAGGGCGTAGTGGAACTTATATGTCTTAGGCAGGTCACTGGAGAGCGCTATTTTAAAATAAACTGTGGGAGACGACAGATATGTTCTGTCTGTGTCACTTGTATTTGGTTTTTTAAAGTCTTAGCTGCCTCTTTTTTAAATTTCATAAGTAATATGTAATAAGAAATACTAAAATCCATAAGGAGCAGAAAAACACCACTTTTCCCTCCTCTTGAGATAAATGCTGGTAACATTCTGTTCTATGCATGTCAATACTTTTTCTTTACAAAAATGGACTCATGCTAAGCTGTTTTGTGCCTTGCTTTTTTCTCTCAACAACACAATATTTTCCATGTAAATAAATCTATTTCCACAATATCATTCTTAATGATGTAGCATTGTTTAGTTTTCCTATTATGTTTTTAAGTTTAAAAAATATTGTTAAAGACACTCATAACCTATGTTTCTAATTTTTTTTTTTTTTAATGTTGATAAGTAAAATAACTTGAATATTGTCCCTGACAAAGCAGAATAGGGTAAGCACCTTGGAGAGCAGAAGCTGCTATCTGGCTCTGCCCACTTTCCATTGTTTTTATTCTTTAAAAAGTTTTTTCATTTATTTTAAATTGGCACATAATTGTACATATTCATGGGGTACAGTGTGATGTTTCAATACACGTATACAATGTTTTTATTCTTGATCACTGCTCTTGGGCGAAAGACCATGAGTGCAAATAAATGCTGAAAGTCAGATGCAACCAGTTTTGCAACTTCACCTCCAGACTCTTCTGTTCAGGAAGCTGAATTCATCTCATGACAGTTTTTATTCAGCACACCGAGATCTCAAGTATGCTTCAAAAGCCCATGTGATAAAGAGAAATCAAAGAGTGACTGTTATATCCTTATATCCCAGTTGGCTTATCATTGATCAGGAATAAAGACTAGCCACATTTGCAAAGTGTTATTGGCAGAGAAGTGTTTGCAATTAAGGGTCTGAAACCTTCTTTCTCATCATTTAGAAACAAGAAGTTATAGTCATAAAAATCAAGTGATTACACAAAAATCAAAATGCAATCATTCCAAACATCAGGGTCACAAAAGCAGTAATTCAATTCCTAGTGATTTCCAGTAATTAATATGTAAATTTCCTCTCTATGTTAATATAATTTAATCACAAAACCAAACACATTAGAAAAATGTATATGACAACAGTTCATGCTTTTTCCTGCTTAATTTAAAATAAGCAGCAGTGCTCACTTATTAAATTGGAGAACGACTGTATGGAGGATTATCACTTAACCAACCTCTACTTAGCAGCTTGCTGGATTGGCCTATACAAGTAGTTGTCAGAGTGTGGCCCCTGACCAGCAGCATTGGCAGCATCCAGGAACATGTTATAAATGCAGGTTCTCAGGCCCCAACCCAAACCTTCTGTAGCAGATGGTGGGGCCCAGCTATCTAGGTTTTAACCAGCCCTCCAGGTGACTTTCATGCATGCCTGCCACTCACTCCAAACTTCCTGAGC